TGGTGGGGGCCGTCGCAGTCAGAGCTGCCCACGAGGCAGAACACTGGCTGGAAGGTGGGGCCGGAGGGGCGGGAGTACAGCCTCTGCTTGTCAGAAGGAAGCAGGCTCCCCAATCTGCGTCTCCGTGCTCCGTCTCTGCCACAGACCACGGCCAAGGCCGCTCCAACCGCGTCTGGTCACCTCACGGGCAGGCCCGGCACGCCACTAACGAATGGGCTCACAGGGCAGAGCGGGGAGGAGAAACAGGGAGGGGGGCTGCGGTGAGGCAGGGGTGGGAATCTGACGTGACACCTGGCCACGTCCCCGGTGAGGGCACACTCACAGTAACGGTGGGAGAGGAGGCACCAGCAGCAGAGGCTGGTGCGGGAGATGGCAGCAGCCTGAGGACCCTGGGGAGGAGGAAACCCACCCCCAGGAGGTGGCCTGAGCCCTGAGCTGTAGTGAGGCAGATGCTCAGGGTGCCCCCAGCCAGGGCTGGCAACAGAGAGGCCTGAGGGGGACCTCAGTCCCCCCAAGGAACCCGCCGTCATGACCGTCTCCGAGGCAGCCTCGCCTGGTTGAGGGCAGCGCCTGGGACTGGGGCCTGGGCACCGCCACAGATGGATCCCTGGAGAGCGGATGGGGTGCTCTGCAGGCCGGCAGGCAGGTCCCTATGTCGTCGATGCTGCGGGTAGCAGCCTCGCCCGGCCCTGCCGGGCAGGTGGTCAGTGCAGCACCTGGGCCAGTTCGTACTTCTCGCAGAAGCGGCTGGTGAAGGGGAAGCAGGTGAGGTACTCGATCCAGGGCCAATGGATGGGGTAGACGTAGAGCCAGATGACCAGGGAGGCGAAGAGGCCGGCGAAGACCAGCAGCGAGACCAGGATGAGGGCTCGCTTGCGGTACTTGTCGCTGGTGCCGAAGGTGATGTAGGGCAGGAAGGCGAAGGCCAGCAGCATGCCGCTGAGGAAGCCGAAGATGTGGGCGATGTTGTCGATCCAGGGAAGCAGGCCGCACACGAACAGGAAGAGCACGATGGCCGACAGGTTCAGGAAGGCCTTCCAGGGCCTCTCCAGCAGCTGCCAGCTCTGGAAGAGCTCCACGAAGAGGCAGGCGAGGAGGCCGAACTGGGACCCCGCCGGGCCCACCTGGGTTGGGGGGAGGGGAGACTTGTCACTTCCCGGTACTGGGGGTGCAGGAAGCCCCCGACACAGCCAGGCTGAAGCCCTGGGACCTGGCCGTCCTATCTGGGAGACCCTCCCAGGAGTGGGGGCCCCGAAGCTGAGGGGATGGGGAGTGGGAGGCAGGCAGCTGGAGCCGCTGGACCAAGGCTGAGGGGGTTCCGCCATGCATTCAGCAAAGGTGGAGACCTTCCAGTGCCCTGTGCAATGAGGCATGACAGATGAGCCTGCTCCAGGTGGCGAGGGGGGGCGGGGCCAGAGCATGACTCAGAGATGTCACTGCTCCCTGGAGCCCGGGATTAAGGGATCGCCCAACAAGCCCCGGCTTAGCTGTCCATCCGCTGTTGAGCCCAGCACAGAAGGGGTCACGTGTCCTGCTGGCGGACTCTGGGTAGGAGGGGTGGCGAGCAGCAGAGGTGGCCTCCCGTCCTCCCACCTAGTCCCCCGAGGCCCTACCTCTGCCCTGTACGGGAGGAAGATGGCGCTGGCGAGATTGCCCGTGATGCCGCTGAGGATGAAGATGATGGAGATGCGGTGCCAGCCGGCCAGCTTCTCCAGGTCCCGCAGGACGGTCATTTGGAAGATGATAGACACAAAGCAGTGCACCACGCTGGGGCGGGGCACACACCGGCATCAGCCTTCCTGCGTCCACCCACGGCCGCCGGCCCGTGGGGTCTGGAGGGTTGTGCTGGCTGTGCCCTGGCCCAGGCGCCTGTCCACTGGCGGTCCGGGCGGGCAGCCCCCACGGGGTCTGGGGGGTGGGCAGCAAGGAGGCTTACCCAGCGTGGAGGAACAGGGACAGCCAGAGCCTGTAGAACTGGTCCGGGACCTCGGGGTTGAGGAAGGGCAGCAGCCCGCACACCTCATTCAAGCAGTGCACCTGGGGGTGGCAAGTGCGTGTGGGGGTGACCGCCTAGGACCCGCCTGGGTCGGAGGCCCTGATGAGGTGGGCAGAGCCGCACACCCCAGCAGCTGCCGGGCCCTGCCTCACCTGGGAGCAGAGCGTCGCCTCTTCGTGGAAATAGCCGTGCATGAACTCGCAGTACTCCCTGGTGGTGATCTCGCAGCTGGGGGATGGGGGGGCAGGGGGTGTGTCAGGGCCCTGGGGCCCCTGCTGGCACCTGGCCACAGCCGGCACCCCCGCGAGAAAGGCGGTGGCCCTCTGTTGAGACCTGGGCTCTGGGACAGCCCCGCTCCGTCCTGCTCACACCGCGGATGGCCCCGGGGCGGACAAGGAGCACGGGAAGGCCTGGGCGGGGGGCCCGGCAGGCTCACCTGCCCTTGGTGCCGATGCAGCAGGGGCGGCCCTTGATCTGGCAGTCCATGTGCAGGAAGCCTGTGTGGTTACTCTTGGCCTGCTCTGTGCAGATCTGCGAGGGGGTCGTCAATGGGGGTGGGCCTGTGTGTCAGCAGGGGTACACTCCCCGCCCTTCTCGAATCACTCTCCACCCCCGATACTCACGGGCCACTTGGTGATGTCATCGGGCCAGATGTGGGCGCCGCTGGAGGCTGGCTCCTCACAGGTTCTGGAGGCAGAGGGCAAAATGAGGGGCTGTGGCACCCCCGGCCTGCATGGCCACCTGCCAGCGGCCCCGCGGGAGCACAGACAACGATGCTCAACTCCACGGTCTCAGCCCCGCCGAGGTCGACCCTCGGCTGTACCTGGGGTCCTGGTGACACACAGCCCCTGACGTCCGCTTCTGGCCCACCTCGGACTTGTCCATGGGGGGCCCGGTGTCATCTTGCCACTTGACGAAAGTAGCCAGTGTCTCCTGGAGGAGAAAGGTGGGCTGGTCATGCCAGGACAGGGCCACCCCCACCGTGTTCAGAGGACCCTTCGGGACATGCCCATCTCCCAGACCCCCGCCCCTGGGAGACAGTCCTAAGACCCAGCTTCCACTTCTCGGGCTGGGGAGGTCGGCACCCGCCCCGTGCTGGGCCATTTACGGATGTGTGTAGGGCTGTGTATGGGGGTGCACGAGGCTGGGAGGGACAGAGGAAGGAAGAGGGGACATGGTCACTGTCCTCGAAGGGCCCCTCCCCCAGGGCGAGCAGCCGCGGGGCAGGGGTTGGCGGGCCTGGGGTGCGTGGCGGCCCCTGCCCCACCGAGCAGTCCTTCCGCTGCGTCTGGATGCAGCCCGAGTGGTCGTTCTGGACGCAGCAGCCCGAGCCCCGCTCCAGGTCTCGCTCGTGCAGCACCAGCTGCTCGATCTGCCCGTCCCTCCGGATGCAGGGCGAGAACTTGGCCCCCAGGTGGATCAAGTCGATCTGTGGGGGGGAGGGAGTGAGCTCGGGCCCAGCCCTGGCTCCGCTGAGTCTCTCGTGATGGGGGGAGGGGGCTGCTGGGGAAGCTGATCCCCTCCCTGCCCAGCTGGAGGGGGCGACAGGGGTGCCCTGCTGAGACCCTGGTCCCCCCCAGGCCCCTCACCGAGCTGGGGCCGATCCAGAAGTTCTCCTGCTGGATATACTTCACGCTCTCATACACACCTTTGTTCCTGAGCACCTGGGACAGAGGGAGGGGCTCAGGCGTTTTCCTGTCCCGGGGTTGGGGGTCGTCGGGGACCCTGGGAAGGGGCCAAGGGGCAGAGCAGCAGGAGCCCAGCATAGCTTCCTGTCTGAGCCAGGCCGTTGCCACGGCAGGAGTGGGGTGGCCTATGACACGGAAGCCTCTAGGGAGGCTGGGACCCCCGGGGCGGAGCCGTCCTCAGCCCAACTTACCAGCTGGGTGGTGACGTGCTGTGCGAAGCCCACGGGCGCGATGCCATAGGTGCCGATCACCAGCAGGGTGATGACGATGTGGACGAAGGTCAGCCAGTAGGTGAAGTAGGGCCTGGGGCAGAGGCCTCGCGCGTTCAGCAGAGCCACTCAGCTTTCGGCAGCTTCCCGCCCTCCCCTTCCACTTCCTGCAACTCATCCCTCGCTACGGCGACTTTCAAAACACGCCTGTAAGTGTCTCTCCCCCAGTTTAAAACCCTTGGATGGCTTCCCACAGCCCTTGGGATGAAGTTGAACATCGGCCGCCTCCCACTGGCTGCGAGGTCCACCTCCCCGGCCTCGGCCTCCCCTCCTGCGGCTCCTGCAACACGCCCTGCTCCCTGCAGCCCCAGGGCCTTTTCACGGATGCTTCTTTGCCATGGATGCTCTTCCCGTCTGTTTTCGGCCACCTAACTGCTGCTCATCCTGACTGCACCCCTGCCCCCAAGCTGTTCCCTCCCATTCTGTCCTCCTCCTCCAGGACACGGACCAGGCCTGTTATCACCTGATTTTTTTTGTAATTTGGGGTCTACTGTCTATCGGGTCACTGCGATCGTCCATTCTGCAAGAACTGCCCGTCCCCGATCCTCTAGCCTTCCCCAAGGTCCTCATGTGTGTCTTCCCCCACGGAGCCCTCCCTCATGGTTACAGCTTCTCGCTGCCCCCCTGACCTACCCCGCCCTCCCCCCTGCCCTCTGCTAACGCTGTTGCAGGGCCTGTGTGAACGCTTGTTGCCGGACTGCTGCCCGAGAGCTAGGGAAGCGTGGAGCAGAGGCAGCGAGCGCCCGAGGACCCCTCCCGGGTGACGCTCACGCTCGGGGAGGGGACAGGCCCCAGGACGGGGCCCCTCCGGCTCACCGGTGGCTGTCGAAGTTCTCCAGCTGCCGCTGCACAGTGCTGCTGATGCTGCGGCGGTAGCTGCGATTCAGCCAGTTGCCCACCACGCCCAAGCCGTAGTGCCGCTTCTGGCGGTCGAAGGCAAAGTGCTTCACCTTGGAGGCGATGCGCCTGCCGCGCTTGGCCCTGGGGGCCGGGGCGCGGCCGTGCTCCTTCCTGCCGGGGAGGGCGGCTCTCAGCCTGATGCTCACCCCACACACAGCCCGGAGGAGCCTGTGGCCAGGGGAGCCTCCAGCAGCAGCGCTGGGCTCCAGGGAGCCTCTCTGCGGCTGTGCCCCCCGCCCCTCCGCCTGTAGGAGCGACTGCCCAGAACTCACAGAGAGACCTGCACCCCATCGGGGGAGACCGGCGAGGCCGAGTGTGGGATCCCCCGGAAGTAGCTGGCGGAGAGTGGGGGAGACTCAAACACATCATCTGCCATGGAGCTCATTTCTTCCTGGGGTGGGGGTGGAGTGGGAGACACAGGAAGAGACCATGTGAGGAGTCACTGTCCCCAACACTGCCCCTAGCAGCTCAGTTCGAGGGCGGGACAGGCAGGCTCTTTGGGAGGAAAGTGAAAGTGCTCGTGTGTGTCGGCCATGATGGTGACCTTCCTGGCCGGCACCCCGTCCCACCCCCAGGTCCTCACTTTACCCGACAGAAAGACGGGGGCCCACGAGCTCCGCAAGGTGGCACGCCCCATCCCACCGACGGGCCTTCGGATATCTCAGGGGCATCTGGCACAGCATGGTCAAGGCCAGGTCACCTCTCCTAGCTCCCAGGCCACCCTGTCCCCCTGCCCGAAGGGCCCACACCCCATGCTTGCCTTACTAAAAAATGAGGAGTCAAACGTGTCTGCACCATCGACGGCATCTTCCTCCAGGAAACTGGGATATGCGAAGCTGCGTTTGACCACCGGGCACCGCTGTCCAGTGGCATCCAGCACCGAGCGCCCCTGTGCACAGGGCAGAGGCACAGGCATCTGGCTCAGGTTAGGCTCCCCCGACAGCAAAGGAATCGTCAAGCTCACCCCGCTGGGGACAGTGCCCTGGAAGGCAGGACCTGACCCAGAGCATGGAGCACCTGGGAGAGAAGGCCGGGGACAGGCCCAGCATCTCCATCGCCCTGGACACATCCAGTTTGCTGTTATCGTCTCCCCAGCAGCTGGCACCCCGCCACCCATCCTGTACCCTAACTCCCAAGGCTCAGGCCAGCTCCCTCCAGTCCTGGCTTCTCGGCTCAGCACACCAGGCCCCTGCCCAGCTCTCGACCCCGTCTCTTGCCACTCCTCTTGTAAATAAAACCACCCCACCGAAACCACAAGGAACCACCTGCCACTCCCCCAAAGTGCCACGCTGCCCTCCTACCTCCAGGCCTTTGCACAGGCTATTCCCTCTACCGGGAATGCTGTTCCCTCCCTTCCTTTCCTGGAAAGCACCCTTACTTTTCTGGGCTCAGCTCAAGTGCCTTCTCCGACACCAGTCCCTCTCCCAGACGAGACGGAGTGGCACCTCCTCTGGGTGGGCCCTGTACTTATCACGCTGAATGACGACATCGCCCTCACCTGGGCCGGGGGCCCTTCTAAGGCGGTGACACTGGCTCGTGGCTCATTTCACTCTGCAGCTCCCGTGCCCAGCACGTAACACGGGCTTGGGAAACGTGGGCGACGAGCACTAACTGCACGTCTCATCTGCTTTCCCAGCTTGTGTGTCTGAGCAGAGACCAGTTTCCCACACTAGAGGGGCGGCCGGGGCTCAGGAGGGGACTGGGGCTAGGACAGGGGCTAGGACAGGAGTCCCCACGGCTCCTGGAGGCTGCAGGGCCCCCTGTCTCCAGAGATTCTAGGCATCGTCCACTGCGCTGGGCACACACACAGGAAGGCGCCTGGGTGAGCTCTTAGGGGCTGCTCGCGGGGAGAGGGTGCGGCCGGGAGGCCCCTCACCTTGAGGAGGGCGGCAGCAGCTTGAAAGCTCATGTGGGCCACAGACACCCTCTTGCGGCGAGGCAGGTGGGAGTAGCCGGAGCGGACGCTGGTGAAGGAGGTGAGGGACAGGACGCCCGGGGTCAGCGGTGGGTGCGGGGCGTGGGGCCGGTCCACCTCGTCGGGGTGGCGGAATGCCCGGCCTCGGGCCAGCGGATCCACGATCTGGGAGGGAGGGCGGCCGTGAGCAACACCAGCTGGCCCCCCGGGCGAGGTCGCCCGCCACCCCCTTGACCCCCCGATGCAGCCGACCTTGGGCATCTTGCAGGGCTTCGGGGACTCGGCGCCCTGGAAGGAAGGCACCTCCTGGCTGGGGGACTCCAGGTCCCTCTGGCACGAGGCCTTGAGGCGGCCGTAGCGGACGCTGCAGTGGTGCAGGCTCCGGCGCTGCCAGTGCTGCCGCTTCCCCTCCCAGTCGTCACTGACCCCGAACCACTGGGCGGTCCCCCTGCGGGACAGCGACGGTGGGCGTGCGCACGCATACGCACGGCAGCGCAGCCACCACGGGGACGACGGGCCGCGTGCCCGCGCAGGGTCGATGTGAGGTGACGGGCACGTGTGCGTGCAGAGCCTCTGGTTCGCAGAGCGGGAGGAGCTGGGCCGGGAAGGCCTCTGGGAGCTTCTCCGAGGGGCAGTGACCCACCTCCAGCTCCTCGAATCCACACTGTGACCTTCTAGAAGGCACGTGGCCCCCAGGGCCTCGGCTTCCCCCCAGTAACGTGGTGTTAGGATCCCACGTCCACCCCTGCAGGGAGAAGCTGCTCACCGATGCCTGCCTCCTACAATTTCTAGAACCGGGACACGGGGAGCAGGGGCAGCCAAGGTCTGGGTGCCGAGAATCTGCAGGGCCACCAGGGGGTGGTCGGGCGGGACAGGCGGGGTGCTCACTTGCGGATGCTCTGAGACAGGGAAGCCTGGCGGCGGAAGCCAGGCTGCTTCTCGGAGCTGCTGTCCTGCCATCGTCCCCGCGGCTCCTGGAGGCTGATGCTCTTCAAGTAGGCCGGGTTCCTGGGCCTCTGCAGAGGGGGGCAGGGGTGGAGGACAGACGGTGGGCGTGCGTGCACAGGTGCACAGTGACTTCACAGAGCCAGGTCCTGGGCTGGGTCTTCTTTGGCTCCCCATGTGAAACCCTGAGAGAATGAACATCAACTCCAATCTACACCCGCGAGCTGCTTTAGCTCTGAATGTAAAATCACTGTTTCCGAATGTTTTCCAGCAAACCCTAGCATGTACTTTCCCAACGCCCTGTTCAGGGCTCCTTCGTCATGCCGTGACGCTCGGAGAGCCCCTGGGGTGAGCGCGCGGCACTGACGCAGCCCGCTTTATGTCCCAGCCTGCGTGGGAGCCCACGCTGCTTCGGGCTCGTCTTCGATGCGCTCTTGATGGCCAGGGGTCCAGCCTGCTGCTTCGTTTCCACACCATCCGAGGTGCCAGGCGCTGTGAGGCCAGGCTGCTGAGGCTGAAGACGCAGGTGCCCGTCACCCAAGTCCCGGCCATCCCTGAGATGAAGTGCCTGAGCTCGGGACCTACTCCCTGTGACATCTGGGGCCAGGAAGGAGCGGTACAGGCCTGAGTCAGGGGCTCAGGAAGACAGACGGGGCCTCCTGTCACCTGTGGCAAGGCAGTGAGCCCCCGGGCCGCCTGCTTACCTGGGGCAACATGCTGGTGTGCTCGTCAGGGGCTGAGGTCTCAGGCGGCGGGATGGTGATGGACAGATTAGGGGGCTTCCGGCTCTGCAGGCGGCTGCTGGACACCGAGGAGACGCTCTCGCCATTCTTGTCAGCGGAGGCCATGGTGGGCAGTGGGGCAGGGCAGCTGGAGTGGAGATGGGGAGACGGGGCACAGGTGTGTTGAGATTGGCAGAACTGAAGGGGCCATGAGGACCCAGGTGCCAGTGTGGGCAGACCAGACTGAAAACAACCTGTAAACACTTGGTTCTCACCTAACTCCGGACACTAAACCATGTGGCAGAGACCAAATCTGGCTGAGCAGGCTACAGCAAGAACGGCTATTTCTGTCCTCCATTCGCATTCCAGACCAGTAGGGTCTGAGGAGTCCTCGGCTCCCTACATTGTTCCATATCTGGTCTCTGCTCAGGCAAGGACCACACGCAGGAGGGCATAGGATGCAGAGCAGTGACCTTGGCCGCCAGGGGCAAGTCTTGGGGGAGGACAAGGAGAAGGCTCAGGTGCAATCTGGTGCACCAGGCCACAAACAGGGGCCCACCACTGTGCACAGAGCAGTCCCTGGGCTGCGGGGGGAGGGAGTGGCGACTCGGCCTAATTCTCAGATAGACTTGAAAGCCATCTGTCCCTGTGCTTTGTGGCTGCCCAGTTCCTTCTCCCAAGGTAACGGAATCTGACACCTGTCAGGTGCTTTTTTTCTTTTCACAGATGAAAAATAGTCTATCCTCATGATAAAAAGTGATACATGCTCTTAACAAAATTAGAAAAAAAAAAAAAAAGATGCAGAAGACTATAAAGCAGAGAGTGAATTCATGGCCTGCCTGTCGCTCATCCTCCGGCAAAGAACTGTGCGCCTGTCCTTCCAGAAGCCTCTCCGCACCTGACCGGGACACACTCACACCTTGCCTTCTGCACACTGTCCCATCAACACTTCCAGGCAGATCTACCTCATCCTTCCTGACAACTGCGAACGTTTCGCCGAGTGGAATGTATCAAGATGTACTTAATTCCAGATTGGTGGCTATTTAGGATGTTTCCAGCATTTCAGACTCGCGTCCAGTGTTAACGGACACTCGCCTGGACGGTCCGAGCACCAGCACAGTCCACAGCGCTGGGAGCAGAACTGCCGGGCTGAGGAGGAAGGGCATCGTGAATCGACACAGATCTTGCCAAATGGCCCTGCCGAGAGATGGCAGCCATTTACCCCCATCTGGGTAAACGCAGCCCAGGCTCCAAGCCCCGCTTCCCCGCTGAGCTCACCAGAATCAATGCCCTCCGCCTGTTCTATTCTCTCCACTCCTTCCCTCGCTCTGCCCTGGGACCTTTTCCTTGCTAAAGTCCTCAGCCCCTTCTTCACCTCACATCCCAAAGCTCCAGGGGCAGGTCTGGTTTCTTTGCGCCCTGTACAAGGCCAGGGACCCCACACTCGTCTTCCAGCGTGGGTGCCGACTCTGGGTGTGCAAGACTGGGGGGAGAGTCACATGGGAGCCCTCCAGCCACGGGCACGTGGGGCCAAGGTGTGGGACGGCAGGGCTATGCAGAAGCCACGCGCTCCAAATCTGCCCGTCTCCTCCGTCCCTACCTGGCCCCCACCGGAGTCACCACCTTCGCTCACCCGAAGGATCACAGTGGCCTCCGGACTCCTCTCTCTGCTGCTCCTCAAGCCCCCACCTCCATGACTGTTCCCCACGCAGCAGAAGTCAGCTTTTAAAAGCGCAAATCACATCACGTCACTCCCTGCTCAACACTGTCCCAGGATTTCCTGTTCCCACTTACACTAAAGCTTAGACTTCTCACTGGGGCCCCTGGGCCCTGCGTGGCGATCTCCCCACTCCCGATCACCTGGCCACTGTGGTCCCCTCATTATCCCCTACCTGCCAAGCTCTGCTGGGAGGTGCTGGGGTTTGTGGCCAAAAGCACAGACCAGAGCCCGGCAGCCTGCACCTGACCGTGGGTCCCCCACATCCTCACCTACGACAGGGAGAATAACTTCCTTCCTCCTGGTCACTGAGTGAACGCATGACACACGCTCAGGCAGCTCGTCCACACAGAAGCCTGTTCAGCTGTGTTCACAGCCACGTGTTCGTCAGAGCCAAAAGGTGGGAGCGACCCGAATACACCCATCGACAGACAGACAACACGTGCTACGCCCACACGCGGGAAGAGTACTCAGCCGCAAACGGGGACGACGCGCTGACACGCTATGACACGGGTGAACCTTGAGGATGTCGTGCCCAGTGAAAGCGGACAGACACAGAGGCCACACACTGCAGGATGCCGGTCACGTGAGCGTGTGGACTAGGCAGATCTACAGACAGAAGGCTGAGTGCTCAGGGCTGGGGGGACACCGGGAGGGGCGACAGGTGATGTCTCATGTTCTAAAACTGACCGTCGTGATGGTTACACATACCTGTGAATAGACTAAAAACCACTGAACTGCATGCTTTAAAGGGATGAATTTATGGGAATTATATGAATTAAATGTGAATTATAAATGTGTTTATAAAACATCTCAAGTAAGTGCTCCCTAAATGCTGGGCCTCTGCCCATGCCGGTCCCTCCGTCTCCAGATCGGATCAGCACGCAGCATAGTACGTGGCTCCTTCTCATCATTCTGGTTCCAGCTTGAGCACCGCCTCCTCCGAGGAGCCGTCCCTGACTGCCTGAAGCAGCCACCGCATAGTCACTGCCGCGCCCCCACTGCCAGAAGGGTACTGGTCCACAGGTGGCAACCCCACCTATGTGTCGAAAAGCAAACAGCACAGCAGCCAGCCCCTCCAGCTACCCAGCTTCCTACCTTCAGTCTGGGCTCAGCTCGCGGCTTCCTGGATCTGTTGCGGAGGTCTCTAGGGCATATTCCAGTCCTTTCTTCACTCTGTGCAGACGCTCTGGGTCAAGCTTCAGCTCTCTGGAGAGGAGGATGTGGGCAGAGACAGGTGGAAAGATGGACGGGAGGCTCCAGGTCAAGCGGGCAGCTCCCTTGGTGCTCAGAGCCTGTGAGAAAGGTCACGTCAGGACCACCGCGTCCCAACACCTCCCCGACCTCAGCGTCCTCATCTGTGAGGTGGGGATAACTCCACCGGCCTCGCGCTGAGGGATTCGAAGGATGCTCGCCTCCTCCACTGGGGTCAGGGTCCCTCGTGCCAATGAGCTGGGCACTCGGGGGGGACAAGCAGCCAGGAGCTCCAGTCTCTGGGCATTTAACAAAAACAAAACAAAACAAAACAAAAAAACCAACAAAATAAACATCTAGAAATTCCTGCTCTGGGCTGGGAACCAAAATCAAGATGGTCCTTCTAGTTTGTTTGACTATAACTATCCTAGAAATATTTAACTTAAACCACCACCACCACCAGGAATTATTGGCTGCCTTCTGATGAAGATTTCTCTTCGATCAGAATAAACCAGAGATTTAAGGCCGCGTTCAAACGATTTGGAAGTGTTTTGTTACTGCTGTTCTGGTTCGTTAATTTATGGAGCTGAAATCCACCCGATGTAAAATTAAACGACTTGGTGGCGAGCCTCTCCGCTTCTGAGAAGTCCTGCTGTACCCTGCCGACATAGCAGGGCACGCGGCAGGTCCCCCCGAGTAGAGCCCCGAGGGCTGTCGGAGACAGGGCAGGGCCCAGCCCTCAGGTGCGCCAGGCCTCGCTGGCCCTTCCCGTGCTGCCCCACTTTGTCCTCAGCACCCCCTCAAGGCAGACATCATCCTCGCTTTCGCTGTGGGAGGGGAATGGCGGCTCAGAGGAGCAAAGTCACTTGTCCACGCTCACACAGCCAGGAGGCGGGGCAGCTGGGACGTGGGGCGCTCTGGAGCCAGGGCCTGAGGTCTACTAGGGAAACTGGTGGCCCCTACTCTCCCTAAAGCTGGGGTACACGTGGGGCTGGAAGGCCCCCATCAGGGAGGCAGAATGGAAAGTCCAGCTCACAGAGAAACTCGGTCAGGAGCCGAGCGCTTTGCAAACTGAGTTCTTCAGAGGCCTGGGTCCCCAGAGGAGCTGCCGTGGGGTGAACCAGAGGCTGGGGGCAGGTGACTCTGGGTGTGGAGGGGGCCCCAGGGCGGGGCGAGGTGGTCCAAGGCAGAGCTGGGGCTCGGGACACTTCCTACTTCGTTTAAGGCTTGACCAACAGATTTGGGCATCCTTCCCTCGTTCCCCAATTGCTGGAGTCCTGACCCCACGCCCCAGGGCAGACTGGCCGAGGGTGATCACAAGCTGACGGTCCTCGGCGTTGGGCAGGCTGACTCCTCGGAGTCCTGGGAGCCGATGCCACTCTGAGCCCGCTCTAGAGACAGCTCCAAGACAACAGCCTCGCCTGGGGCCCCGGTGTGGAACGTTCCCTAGCTTGGCCTCCTCTGGGACCAGGGTGCAGTGAGAGGGCATCAGGCAGGCATTACCTTGGGAAAGCAGCACCAAGGAAGGAGGCAGCGGAGGAAGGCTGGTGGGGGGGGGCTGCCAGGCCCGAGCTCTGATAAGGTCACCAAGGTACGATCCTTCTGGGACTCAGAGCTGAACAGACATCCCTGGAGTCAGCACCCTGTGCCCTTCAGAATCTGCCCTATGCCCCACTCCCCCACCCCACCCCCGACATGCCACGTCCCCCTGCAGCTCCCACCTCCCATTATCTGAGGCCCTACATCTGGCACACCAGGCTCCACCGAGTCTGCCTGGCCAACACCTACCAGTTGCTTTAAGGAAGGTAAAAATGTCACCTCCTCCAGGAAGCCCACCCTGTCACCACCAGATAGAATCAACCACTTTCCCACATGCTCTCATAGCATCCTACAGACATCTGCCTACATGTAAGCGTCCCCACAACCCTGGGCAGCACACGGTCTGACACACAGGTGAGAGGGCAGGCACATGCATGACTACGGATGGTCAGTCCACCCTGGACAGAAACCTGTCACCCCCAATCTTGCAGCCAGCCCAGGACACAGGCCCCTCTGGAAGGCTCCACTGAGCAATGCCTGCCCTGCTCTGGCTCTGTGACCAGTGCAGGGCTGAGGATTGAGGACGCTGTCTTAGGATGAGTCCCCAGTGGACCTCCTGTCCCCCCCTCCCAGGCACAGCCTAGACTCTCCAGCCAGCTCCCCACATCCCAAGGCCATTCTACCCCTGGCTGGGACTCACTGTGCTGCTGGTGGCATCTGTGACCTCCTGATAGGAAAAAAAGGCAGACACGACCCCAGATGAAGGACTGGGGAGATGGGACCGGCCCCAAGGGGTCCCGAGGAGAAGTGGCCTGGCCCTAGAGAGCAGAGTTCGGGGGGTGGGGTGAGGGGAAAGGCGTGGTACCAGGGGAGCAATGCTGTGCACCTCCGTAGGGCAGTCCTGGCCTGTCAGCAGCGCCCCCCATCCCCGCCCACCTCAGCCTCCTTGTTAAACGAGGGAACGGAACAGGCGATGGTCCGGCTTTGACCCCCAGGACCCCCACGTATTTGGCATAAAGACAGCGCTTTCCCCCAGACCCTCTCTGCTATGGAGGGAGGGTCTGCTCCCCAGACCACGTGCCCCCAGCCCACGCAGAAACGGCAGGCTGGAGTACCAGAAGCCCCGTGTCCTCCTCAGGGCTCAGGGCGTGAGGGCTGGGGGGCAGCTGGCGTGCAGGGGTGCTCATACCCACGCTGGGAGCCTGCTTCCCCCAAGTCCAGGGCGTGGATGGGCCCAGGAGGCAGTGACCAGGCAGAAGGAGTGCTGGAGCTTCGAGAGCACCCCGCCCAACACTTATCTCCTGCACCCCAGAAGTGCTTGCTCTGCAGGAAATTGTGACATCCTGGGACCAGGCTTCCTCCTGACCCACAGTCACATCCGCTGCTCTAAGACCCCTGGCCTGTCACTTCGCCCAGCCCATGGGTGGGGTGGGGGGAGGTCTGAGGGCCTGCCCCACCTGACCAAGCCACTGCCACCTGCCCAAGCTAGATCCTGGCCTTGGTGGGGCCCTCCCCCAAAAGGGCCTTCAGCCCCAAACCCAGAGTAATTAGGAGACCCCTAAGGAGTCTGGGTGAAGGGACGGGGCTCACGGTGGGGGTGGGGCAGGTCCACAGAAAAAGGGAAGTGCAGCATTCAGATCACCCCCAGGTCATAAGTTGAGGCACCCTACCCAGTCTGTAACCCTGGAGTCCTCACAGCCAGTAGCGGCCGGGACCAGGCACATGTGACAGAACTGCAGACTCAGAACCCACTTGCTGATGCCACAGGAGAATCCGGTTTCCCCACCAAGGGTGGGGTTGGGCACTGCCAGCTGAGCCCTGATCTGCAAGGTGTCCCGTCCCCCAGGGAGGTCCCCACCAGCACTCCTGGGCCATCCCGGCAGGGTGCTGGAGGGTCCCACCACCAGCTCGGCCTGCCCCCAGGCGCAATTTCACCTGCACGGAGGAGCCTGGCAGGTTTCAGAAGCCTCCCTGGTCCCCACAACCTCCAGGCTCCAAGCACGTCAGCCACAGCCCCAGACAGAAGCAGGCAGGCCCCAGCCAGGAGGGTGCAGACCGCCCGAGGCCAGAATGGGGACAGAGGAGGAGGAGGGGCCCTTTGACAGGGGTGAGCAGTCCCTCCAGAGAGGAAAGAGGCAGACCATTATTAGCCACCGGATAAGAAGATCAGGAAGTTTAGGGAACACCCATGGGTAGGGCTCAGGTCCACTGAACTGAGAAAGTGAACAAGTTACTTCCAGCTGGCCGGGGCGCCTAGCTGCGGGCAAGTGGGCACCCCGGGCAGGCAGGGAGGGAGGAGGCTGGGGCTGCTGGGAGCCTGTCTGTCCTCTGCTGACTCACAGGATGACAGGCAGAGAGAGGGCTGGGGGCGAGGAAGTGGCCTCTCTCCCTGCTTCCCTGCCACAGAAACTGAAACTCGATTTTCCCTCCCTACAGCCTTTCTGGGAACCAGTCATTTTTAGAAAGCTACAAAGAGGAAGCTGGCCCTCACCCGCTGTACGGTCCCCAGTGAAAATCCTGGTTCTGCTGACCTTGGGGCATGGCTCCAGCCCCCCACCCTCCGCCCCAGTACCCGGAAGGAGCTGCTTATATAAAGGCCGTTGCCTAACCTGGTCTCCCTATACGTCCCCGCACCGCCTGCGCAGCCAGTGACTCACCCCTGCCTGCACACCTCTCAGCCCCGGCGAAAGGGAGTGGGGACAGAAGCAAAGGGCAGAACAGTGCCCAAAAGGCTGGCCGAGGGTCTGGGGACAGGATCCGGGAAGGCGAAAAGTGAAGAAACAAAACGGGAAAGAAGCAGTTGGAGGCTGAAGGCCAGTCATGAGAGTCAGAGAAGGCAGAGGACGAAAGGGACTGTCAACAGAAGCCAAACAGAAGCTTCCGTCTCCCTCCCTCCCCCCTGGCAAGCACCCACTTCCCAGAGGTGCTGGTTGGCAGACAACGCACTGCACACACACAGACTGCACACACTGCACTGGCCCGGGCGCTTCAGCCCAGCTGCCCCCCAGGGAGAGGAAACCCAGGACCGCCTGGCCCGCGGGCTGGCACCCGCTGCATGGGGGGAGGCCCGTAGGTCAAAACCCGCACCTTTAAAGGCTTTTCAGCAGGCAAAACTGGAGACCTAGGTTCAGGGGCTTGGTGACCCACCCGTTTTTCGCCATCGGACCCCGGGTTCTGGGCTCCCCTTGACCCAGTTAGAGCGGCTCGGGCGGCGTGGTCAACCACAGACACGGAAGCGGGCGCCGGGTTCCCGCGCGCGGCCAAGAGCAGCGTGTGCGCGTGGCGGGGGGCGGGGAAGGGGGCTGCCCCGTTCTCAGAGCGGCTCAGACCGCAGTGCCCCTCTTTGCACCATGGAGCAGGCTTTCCCGGGATCATACACCTGTGGGGCTGAGGTGTGAACGCCCCATCCTCTGTGGGGCTCCCGGGGTCCAGGAGGCCAGCTGAGGTGGGGAATACCTGAGCCCCAGGTCCTCATATCCTAAGATGCTGCGGCTGCTGGGAACACACAGGGACGGGCACCAGGTGTCCCTCACTGGACACAGTGCTGGGCCCTGCCCACCACGGTGCCTGCCCAAAGGCCCCTCTGGGACCCTCTAGACTCTAGAAGTTGCTGGTGGAAGCGCACAAGGGGACAGCAGCTGAGCAAGGATACAGGTGTCCTGCCCCCGGGCAAGCAGCAGCAGCAGCTCTCAGTCCCCTGGGGACAGCTGTGGCCTGGGGCGTCGGAGGGAAGTGGCCCGGATGCTGTGCCCTGCAGCCCAGCCTCCTCCGCGAAGGTGGCGCAGTCCACGCCAGCTCTACCGCTCCCTGAGCACTGCAGTGAAGGGCGGAGTCAGAAGCGGCCCCTGGGGGCCCAGCGGGCCTCGGTCCTTCTCCGGCCAGAGAACAGGTTACGGGAGGAGTTCGCACCGCCGAGCCCCACAAACGGGACTTTGCTCCAAACACGCATGAAGATTTGCCTCTCGGGGTCTTGGGGTGCAAGGAGTTGGGTCCTCAGCGGCCCCCGGAACTGGCAGAGGCCTAGCGCACGCTCTGGTTGGGGGAAGGACGGGGCGCTGCATGGGTTGGGGAGCAGCGAAGGCCCGCTTCACGCCTGCTGGGGGCCCCTGACGCCGAGTGCCACCAGGCCGTTTCCAGACTCCATCACCCTCGGTGCCCTGAGCAGGGCTGTCTTGTGTCTGCAATGGTGGGGTCCACCCAACTTCCACCTGCCTTGTGGCCTGGCTCCAGACAGTGACGCCGCGGTCCAACCGGGGACAGGGTCTTAGGCACAGCCCTGACAGCTGTGTGATCTTGGGCAAGTCACTAAACATCTCTGGGCCACCCTTTGTTTACGCTTAAGATGCTGAGTAGCCGCCCGGGGGTCTGAAATCTAGGTGCCCTTGTCGCCACTGGCTAGGGCTCACCCCGGGAGCACAGGCAGACGACAGCCAAAGCCTCGCCACATCTTACGAAGACGGAAGCACCTTGCCCAGCGTCCCTCGGCCAGAAGTCAGGCCCGGGGCTGCCCTGGATCCTTTGCCTCCACACACTGGGGACAGGGCCTGGTGGCCCTCGTTTCTGGAGGCACAGGTCGCCCCTAGCAGGGAGGGAACATGCCAGGCAAACACTTTCCAGCTTGTAAAGTCATTAAGAAGCTAATAAAACTTATTTCTCAGAACTCTGCCCCCGGGCTCACTGGTTCCCTAGTAGAGGCTGCTCCCCCGGCCCCCCGCCCCAACCAACCGCATGGCTCCTAGGGCTTCCGGGCACAGGCCCATTCGGGCCACTCACATTGGGGGGCTTGCAGTTACCTACTCATCACCCCCCCCAACCTTGCTTTGGAGCAGCTGAGGTTCTCTTGTTGAAGAATGAGGGCTGGGGGTGGGGCTGGGGTGCTGGAGACAAGGCTCCAATGCTGGCTTGGCCACCTACCCACTGGGACACCTTGGGCAAGTTACCACTTCTGAGCCTCAGTTTTCTCTGCTGTGAAATGGGGTGATGGCCTCCCACAGATGACGTGAGATCAGGAATGAACAGTGCCAGTAACTGATACGGTTTCTCTTATCCTTGGCTGACCTCCGCTGTCACCGCTCACTGGGTCTCTGTATCTGAGCCAAGAACCGCAGAGGTGACAGATCTCTATTTGACTGTGGGGAAACTGAGGCTCCGAGAGGTTAAGTCACCTGTCCAAGTCTCTGTAGTTAAGAGGTGGTGGGGCTGTGACCCCCCCGCCCACACACACACACACTCACTCACTCACTGCAGCCTCCTGACACCCTGGAACCGGATGAGAATAAGTGGCAAAAGAACAGGCCTGGGTGGTGACTCTGAGCAGTCCAGGTCTGGGGGTGAGTTTGGGAGCGCGGGCCTTTGACTCATGAGCCCCTCCCACCTACCCGGCCCCGGCAGAAATGACATCGCCTAATGCTTGGGTTGCACTTCTCAGATTATCACAGAGTTTTCACATTCTCTCATTTCTGTTCTTATCTCATTCTCTTCGGTGGTGGTGGCGGTGGCGGGTGAGGTCAGACTTCCTTCTGAGTCCCGCTCCAGCCCAATCCCACAGCCGACCCCCCACCTCGTCCTCCAGGCCTTCGGGGGCCACCTGGGGAGAGAAGAGGCGCTTCCTGCCAGGCACCAGGGTCAGGCGGCCCGAGGATGCTCTTGACACAGCCTCTGGGGCCACACGTGGGAAGCAGAGAAGAAAACCAAGGTTCTGGGCAGCTTGCCCTGCACCCGGCCCCAAGAGCCCGGGAGCGGAGCTGAGGGGCACCACCTCAGTGACCCCCACCCCTCCGCGCACACACCATCAGGACACACACGCTGGCAGGAGGGCAAACCTCTGGGCGAGGGTGGCAGTTCACGGCCTGACCTTCCCCTCCTTGACCAAAACCCACCCTCCGACCCCTGGGCCTCCACGGCACTGAGGTGCCCCCACTCCTACGGAACGACAGCCCCACCTTTCTTCAGCATGGTCTCATCCAGCCCCCCAACGGCCCACGAGATAAGGGCTCCATCGTCACCACGAGTCTGCGCCAAGGGTGCACACACACGCTGACAGCAGTCACGACAGCGTTATCACGACGGGGTCCTCGCCATGCTCCTGGCAGGCCGGGCACTGGGCCCAAGGCTTCACACGAACCACCAGCAGAATCTTCACAGCAACCCTCCCAGGCAGACGACTGTGACTTGCTGTACAGCTGGGGAAACTGAGGCACAGGCTATTTAAGTGACCCCCATCCTACTGCCCACACTCTCATAGACCAGGATACCTGTCGGCCTCTGTGCCTTGCACCTTGGCTCCCCAAGCTGGGAGTCATCCCTTCCCACCCACCCCCTCGGGTCAGCGTCCCTGATCGGCCCACCTTTAGCACTGCCCACGTAAGAACCAACCACTGTCTCGGGGGGACCCGGAGCATCCTTCCAGCAGCTTCAGAAATGCAACAATTTGCTTCTGGGTCCCTGGATGAATTTACTGAATGAAGGAATGGGCCCTGGAGGCTCCCTGTACTTTCCCAAGGACGCTCATCTAACTCATCTCTCTCATAGTGAGGTGACAAAAACTATGGGCAGCCTGGGAAAAGCCTGTGTTTTCCCTAGAGACAGGGCAGGCAGGGCACCTCCTCCTGGCCTGCATCCTGTGAGCCGCCTAGCCTGGCAGCCTCCCCGCCCTGGCCACCAAGCCAGGTCAGCCTGCACTCCAAGAGGGCTGATGTCTCCACCTCCTCCCCCGGCCTAGCCCAGCTGGATAGGAAGCTGGGAGCAGACGAGTGAGCTCACTCTGGAAATCCCCAAGGCAACGCTGAGGCCACAGAGCCCCACGGGGGTGTGTGGGGTGGAGTGGAGAGAGGCGGCCGGGAGAGCACATTCCCCAGCGTTGCACCATGGGGCGGTCAGGGCCGTGACCATCCCCATTCCACTACTGCTCATCCCAACCGAAGGGAAGGGACAGGTGGCTGGGAGCAGACGAGTGAGCTCACTCTGGAAATCCCCAAGGCAACGCTGAGGCCACAGAGCCCCACGGGGGTGTGTGGGGTGGAGTGGAGAGAGGCGGCCGGGAGAGCACATTCCCCAGCGTTGCACCATGGGGCGGTCAGGGCCGCGACCATCCCCATTCCACTACTGCTCATCCCAACCGAAGGGAAGCGACAGCACATCCGAGTCCCTCAGACATGAACCGGTCCATGCACGCTCAGACACACACACCACTTCATCTCCTCTGGGGCAGAGTTTACACAGCAAGTTGACAGAAATCTTGTGAAGAGGCGACAGCAGTGCCCAGAGCTCTGGTCACAGCAAAACACGGCTACTGACCGGAGCCAGCTCAGACCCCTAGCCTCTGCAGTGTGTGCAGTGTGATTTATTCCTCTTAGAAGAGGAGAAATCCTCTCTTGGGCTGTGAGTGTGTGTGAGACCAGGTACAGCTGCAGCTCGCAAGTGAGCAAACCAGGTAGGAGTCACCTGGTGGTCCCTTTACAGGCCGGTGGCGCTGGGCTCGCTGCTTACTTCCTGAGCTACTTTGAGCAAGGCCGAGTGCTGCCTTATGCCTCGAGGGGCACACGACAGCTGGGGGCCACAACTGTGGCTTTGTTTTTCTGAAAAGATGGGAGTCACACTCCA